CATTTGAAAATTGGACAGGTTTCTGTATACTTTCAAGCTCCGCCAGGATATTTGGTGGGGTTATGTCTGTGTAGGATTCAGTTTCTTACATAAAATGTCTTGGCCTTTTTAATATTGTTGGAAAAAAAATCAAATAGAGTATGATGATGACTTTCAATATACAGCCTTTTGTTTTAAATGCAGCCTTATTATTTGAATGCGTCCAATGCAGGAGTTTCTGTATCTGTCTTTAGTTGTATTTAATTCCCTGTAGAACATGTGCTTTCCCCTGCTGAGGTGTCCTATAATAAATCCAATTATTCTGACTATTCCTGCGACATGGCAGCAGACAAGAAGAAAATGAAGGCCCCAGAAAGCAATAAATTGCTCTTAACTAACCATCTGTGTGATTATTAATTCATCTTTTCTGTCGGACACATCAGCCTTTGAGTAAGCACATTAAACCATTTTATCCTATCGTGGTTTGGGTTGTCTGCCGCGCTCATCCAGAGAATTATATACAAAAAAACCTAAGTGACAGGGCCTACTGTATTAACTCTTTAGTGGCCTACTCCTCTTGATGCCTCATGCTAAATCAATATCTTATGTAATGCACATACCATTTCCTTGATTTTAGCTTTGGAGGTGGGTTTCGAGGAATTAGGAAAAGAGCTCTCATAGGGTGCATGTCGCATAAAGCTGCAAAACAAAAACAAATTACACTTCATGTATAAATGTAGTATAAAGAATTTCAAAATTCACATTTTCAAATTTCTACTGTAATTATGGAGGAGTGGATATGTTTTTAAAGCAAATCTGATGCATCCTAAGCAATTGAATAGCTTCTCTCCCCTGTGGGAACCTGATTCACTCGGAGACCTGGTAAAGGGGCCTAAAAGCACCTTCCTAATTTACAAATGCAGAGTGTAGACAAGTATAGTATTTCCCAATTATGGTTATTATGTCACAGGTTGGCAGAAACATGCTCTGTAATCCCTGTAACCTCTGCAGATAAATGGAAGTGAAATCCTGCTCAAGCTGCTGACTTGAGCAGAAAATGCATGCTCTCAACTAGTGAACTTACAAGAGGGTCTGGTGTCTTTATACAAAATGTTCTAATGTCTACCTTTTTATACATGAGTGCAATGTGAACTCAATGGAAAGCTGTCCATTATCCTGTTCTCCTTTAAATGACAGCCCCGCCTACCCCCCAAGTCTTTCACTTACCTGTCCCTGCTATTCTGAGATAATAGCTGTGCAGACTGCTGGGAGCCGCACAGCAGATTTTAGATTATTCTCCTGACTTAGCGCTTCCATACATATGTGGGGTTATCTCCATTAATTTCTACAAAGAGGGCATCCACCATTGTGACAAGGGGATGAATGGAGATTATTTGGGGCATTCTTCTGCAGCTGGCTATGAAGTATATACACCCAGTTCCCTACACCCAGTTCCCTAAACTAGAAGAACTACAATCACTGCTCTGGTGTTCCATATCTTTCATCTTCCCTTTGTTCCAGCACTGAAGCCCCTCTGTCTCTTCAGCATTTAACACTTCTGGGATCTGATCCTTGTGTCCTCTAGCATGTGTTGTGGCTCCATTTTCTTATCCATATGCCACTGGGTATTCTGTAGTGAAGTAAAGGTCAGAGGATGGGATGGAATTGCTGGCGGGTGGGCACAGACATTCAAATATTTGGAAGGGTTAAATGCTGAAAATACTGATGGAGGCTTCCAAGTTGAAGCAAAGGGAAGGTAGAAGATTTTAATAGACCACCAGAAAGGTGAGTATAATTCCAGTAAATCCAGTGTGAAGTTTCCACAGTCTGTGTTGATTTGGGGAGCCATGTCATCTGCTGGTGTTGGTCCACTGTGCTTCAATAAGTCCAAGATCAACGCAGCCGTCTACCAGGAGATTTTGGAGCACTTCATGCTTCCTTCTGCAGACGACCTTTATGGGGATGCTGACTTCATTTTCCAGCAGGACTTGGCACATGCCCACACTGCCAAAAGCACCAAAACCTGGTTCAATGACTGTGGGATTACTGTGCTTGATTGGCCAGCAAACTCGCCTGACCTGAACCCCATAGAGAATCTAAGGGGCATTGCCAAGAGAAAGATGAGAGACATGAGACTGAACAATGCAGAAGAGCTGAAGGCCGCTATTGAATCATCCTGGTCTTCCATAACACCTCAGCAGTGCCACAGGCTGATAGCTTCCATGCCACGCCACATTGAGGCAGTAATTGCTGCAAAAGGGGCCCAAACCAAGTACTGAGTACATATGCATGCTTATATTTTTCAGAGGTCCGATATTGTTCTATGTACAATCCTTGTTTTATTGATTGCATGTAATATTCTAATTTTCTGAGATTGTGGATTTGGGGTTTTCATGAACTGTAAGCCATAATCATCACAATTATGACAAATCACAGCTTGAACGATCTTGCTTTGCATGTAATGAGTCTATCTCATATATTAGTTTCACCTTTTAAGTTGCATTACTGAAATAAATGAACTTTTGCACGATATTCTAATTTTTCGAGTTTCACCTGTATGTGTATATATAAATGTAACCTCAGTGTAATGAAGCATGAATTTCTTCATGTTATCTTGAAGGCTTCTACAAGAAAGAGATGCATCCTAACAATGGAAGAAGATGCAGGTTGCAACAGCAGACGTGGGTCATTGGTGGCATTTCCAAACAGTTGGGCCTTCCTCCCAGCTTCTCTATGCCTCCTTGATTTCCTTACCATACAGTAAGTGTGAAATATGTTTTTTGAGTTTTTAGCTATGGCACTAAACAATAGCACCTCTGCAACAGCAAACAGAATGCAGTAATGCAGGCCACTTGGATGCCCTTCTCCAATGACACAGAGCAGAACTTATGTAATTTACTGATGTAATTTATTGATATCTCCTGAGATAAACATTAGAAGAATGAGAGCATGTACCTCTATATCCTTCCACTCTGCCCTCCAATGAGTGTAGGAGTAGATAGAAGTCATACCAAGAATGTGGAGTCTAGCATTTAAAAGACTGGTCCTCATAACCTGATATTTTAGTTTTCAGTAGATGCCGGGGGGGTTCTTTAAACTCCAAAGAGGGTAGGAATAGGAAAAGAAACAAGGAAAAGAACAACATAATACCTGGCTATTAAACAATAAAGCCAGGGAGTGACATAATACCGCTGGTTCCACCTATAAATGAAATATCGGCTTTGGTGAACTGGACATTTTAAATGAAAAACTTGAGCAGTAGGAAGAAGCAGTTGGTTGTGCAACTTGATTGAGTTTAAAGAATAGATGTAATCAAGAAAACGATTTAATTCAAATAAACCATGGTAATATCTTAAAAAAAAAAAAAAAAAATATAGTGACACTATTTAGGATTTCCTAGTTACTCATTAAACTTATTTTCAAACCCTAAATCCCTTCCCTGCATCAACAGTTTGCACAGCGTTGGCTATCCCAGAAGGACATTTTAGAAATGTCACAATTTTGTTCAAATGGAAAATGTTTGGATTAAATGTTTTGACATTTAAGAATTATCTCCAAGGACCATTCTAAGGACAGCTTGCTAGATTGTCCCTTTTTGTAATTTAAATGCTGAAACATACATTACTAAACTGCCAGAGACTTGCTTGTCGAGAAAAGAAAATCTTATCACGTAGTCTGATTGAGCTACTGTATACATGTAGCTCAATGTATACATGTCTAATTGCTCACTTTCTTCCAGTGCATGAAGCAAGTGTTGTTCGTTGCGTATACCTCTATTTTGTATCTGTATTAGGTTTATTTCTACAATACTTTCTCCGGACTTATAAACGTAGTACAGACAAAGACCAGCAGCCTAGAGTACCATAGCATTTGCAGGATTACTATACCAGCATCTTCTGTTCTGCATTTTCATGCTAAGCTCTTTTTTTGTTTTTTTTCTTTCATAAAGCCTTTTTTGATGACTTTCTAGGGTCTAAAAACAGTGTGTATACTGTTTCAGTAAACTGTATATGTGATATATAGTATGTGTATATGTGATATATATATACATAATTTTTTTTTTTTTTTTATTCATTTATTTATTTTAGCAAGGCATGTGCGGGAGTCTTTCTTCTGTTTCAAACTGTTTCACTTCATTTTTCATAGTTCCCCGTTTAGTTTGGTATTGTTTTGAGCTTCTTTTATTTTTGTATTACTTTAACTCACTTCCTTCTAATATTTATTTTATTCTTGTTTTTTTTTTGTTAACCTGAATCCTGCAGTCTTTTTGTACTATCTCATGTTTTTCTGGTTATGTGGACACACCAAAAGCAATAAGGAACAATGGGGACATGCAGTAGTGGCAGAAACTGAGAGAAAAGTTTGTTTAAAAAGCCACAGACATTCCATAAAGGTTGGATCAGGCAAGGAAATGCATAAACAGTGGATAGCTTCAAAAGCTAGCAAGGCCTCAGCAAGCCAACAAGGTACCAGCAAGTATGTATTTTACTTATCACAAAGTAGTTGCTGCATGTGCAATTACATCTGAATACCTATGAACAGCTGTGGTTCCTGTCAGCCTATCATTGCTTTTTACAGGCTGGGCATCCACAACTATCTGCATCCACTTGTGAATCCAGCTTTAGGAATACACTGGATTTTTGCTGCAACTGGCAAAAAATCTCATGTGAATAAGTCCTAAATGTGAAAAACAAATGTATGGTAACTAGTCAACATAGAAGCTATTCTATTCTTGAGAGAACAGACAATATTCAGGAAAATTTAGTTTTCCTAGTCCTCTCCTAAGATTGGCATATACTCCTCTAAAGATTCTAATGATATATGCCAGACAGTGTGACCACGACTTAGCTTGCTGGCTAAGTAGAGGATACTGAAAGCTATTACAGATACGTATGTCCTGGCACTTCTGATGCTAAAAATTTGATAGTCTCTTTTTAAGAATATTGAATGACTTAAAATGTATGTAAACCATTTACAAAAGAATTGAGTTTTTTTTTTGTTTTTATTTTTTTTTTTCACTTACGTGGCGACCCTTCTGCCATCTCAATGGCTGTAATTCCCAAAGACCAGAGATCACTCTGTGGAATCAGAAAAACATAATCTAGGTTATAGTATTTAGATAGTCACGTGCTAAAGGATGCCTTTAATTTAAAAGCTATGTGGGGAAATAGCAGTAGCTGTACAGAGCTTGTGCTACCTTTTTTCTATTCCCAAATACCTGGAAGAGACCAGTGACGCATTTGTACAAACATCGTTTTTTAACTACTTGCCCTCTGGAAGATTTACCCTCCTTCATGATCAGGCCATTTTTTGCGATACGGAGCTATGTTACTTTAACTGACCATTGCACAGTCATGCAACGCTGTACATAAATAAATTAGTAATTTTTTTTCCCCACAAATAGAGCTTTCTTTTGTGGTATTTGATCACCTCTGTGTTTAATTTTTGAGCCATAAACAGAAAAAGACAGACTATTTTGAAAAAAAAACATTTTTTTACTTTTTGCTTCAAAACATATCCAATACAAAAAAAAAAATTTCTTCATAGATTTAAGCCAAAATGTATTCTGCTACATGTCTTTGGTAAAAAAAAAAATTCCCAATAAGTGCATATTAATTGGTTTAGGTGAAAGTTATTGCATCTACTAATGGCGGTGTATCTATACTGGAAGTTTTATTTATTTTATACTAGTAATGGCAGCGATCAGCAACTTATAGCTGGACTGCGGTGGGTATTCTGATACTGGGTGGGAACTAACTGTCACTGACATACCCAGTGACACTAATACATTGATCAGTGCTAATAAAAAGCACTGACACTGTACTAATGACACTGGGCATGAAGAGTTTAACATCTGGGGTGATCAAAGGGTTAACTGTGTACTGTTTTTACTGTGTTTTACTAGGGGACTGTGTTTTTACTAGGAGGCATGTTGCTTTCTATCTCTCTGCTTTGTAGAGAGATAGAAAGCAGCACGTCCCCACTGACAGGAGAGAGATCTGTGTTGTTTACATAAGGATCTCTCCCCTGTAAGCTTCTCCAACGATCACAGAGTCCTGGCTATGAATCACTGTCCAGGACCCAGTGATTGACTTTTTTGGGAGCCAATGACAGCACGGGTAGGGCGGCGTCCTCTACCTGGAAATTCACAGCACGGCTGTCATGTAGCAGTATATTTGCTATGGGGAGGTCTTTAAATGGTTAAAAATATGACGGTGCAGCGCAGATGTGGGAAGGACATGCAAGCATGCTTATGTTCTGCTTTAAAATACATTGTAAATTGTAAAATAAAATGCATACAGGAAACATTATGGTTGATTTACTAAAACTGGAGAGTGCAAAATCTGGTGCAGCTGTGCATGGTAGCCAATTAGCTTGAGCTTGTTTAATTAAACTTTAACAAAAAATCTGGAAACTGACTGGTTTCTTCACAGAGCTTCACCAGATTGTGTACTCTAGTTTTAGTAAATCAACGCTCACTGCTTTCTCATGCTGTTCACCTTTATACTGCAAAAAGAAGGCTCAGGAAAGTCATTGATTGATTTACTAAAACTGCATGGTGCAAAATCTGGTGTAGCTGTTCAAAGAAATCAATCTGCTTCCAGGTTTTATTGTCAAAGCTTAACTGAACAGGCTGAAGTTAGAAGCTGATTGGCTACCATGCACAGTTGCACCAGATTTTGCACGCTCCAGTTTTAGTAAACCAACACCTTTGCTGCAAATGAATCTGCAGTCCCATAGCACAAAGTTTTCAAAAAAAGGGTATTGCGCAGTTTTTCTCCTGGAAAAATCAGGATTCTTCTCTAAAATCTTTCAAATTCATGTACTTTGAGTTGATCTCACTATACTTTCTTCTGCTTTGCTGTCTTGGTGAATATGCATATATACTGAGCATCAGTAATTTATTGCAGACAAGTTTCACAGTGACGCATGGTCAGCTGCAATAATATTGATAACATTCTTTTCACACAAGTGAACCCCGTGGTTGTAGTGCTGGGGTGGATTACAAAATGTTAAACTTTAATTGCAAAAAAGTCACAAAAAGCAGCACAATATTCTTCTGTATTTACAGCTGGAAATCCCAACTCCCCGGGGGTATAGAAAGCATTTCAACAACAACTCGTCCCCAGCAACCTATTAGGAAGTGATTTTTACACAGTCAGCATACTTCCTTTTAGGAAAGTCTGGTGAGCCCCGTGTTTATCAGAAGATGACTAATGACACATTTTTTCACATGAAAACGAAGTGCTTCCTTTGTAGAACGTGTTTAAAAGAAACAACAAAAAAAAAAAAAAAAACTCACTCGGTAGTCATATGTTGAGTCTGGATTCTCATCACATGCTATGACCTCCGGTGCCATCCAGTACGGGGTTCCAATAAATGTGTTTCTTCTTCCTATAGTTCTGTCCAGCTGGGCACTCACTCCAAAATCAACTAAAACAAACAAACCAGTATGAAGCATGTTCAGCCAATACATGATTGCATTCAGTAGTTATTTTTACTATACAGGATTTATATAGCACCAACCATTTCTACAGAGCTCTACAACATAAGGGCAGATGGTACAAATGCAATACAATTTAATACAGGAGGAATCGGAGGACACTGATCATTAGAGCTTACAATCTAAGGGTCCTTTCACATGGGTTGACTGGTTTTAGCGGATCTGCTTGCTCAGCTCACAGGTCTGTGTCCGATCCGCTGCTGCAGAGAAGACACCGAGCAGCTCGCTTTCCTCAATGGGCGGTCGGATGAAAATGGACCACCTGTCCATTTCCATCTGACCTGACCTGATCTGGTGGACGGAAGGGCAATTGGATCTCCATCCATCCCTCTTTTGTGGGTCGGATCAGATTAGATTAGATATTGCCGGAAAAACGGGCAGGCAGACCAAATGGAACATCCATGATTAAGAAGCCAAAGAGGGAGGGTCAAGAGATAGAAAAGATAATAAATGAGGGAATTGGGCTGATGGAAAAAAATACATGTACGGCTGTTAAGTGGGGGCAGGAAAAACCTTTCTGAAGAGATGAGTTTTCAGGGATTGTCTGAAAGTGGACAGAGCAGGAGAAAGTTGGGACACGTTGGGGTAGGGAGGAGTATATAGTGTATATATTTAAAAATGGAAATCTAAGACTGCGTTATGAAAATTAAAGTGACATTAAAGTCTATTTTTTTCAGAAAATATCATAACTTTCAGGTATTTGCTATGTTTTTTTTTTTTTCATTTTATTTAAAAAAATCCTTCTCTTTGTTTACTCCGACATTATCCCCCACTGCTCTCCCTGTTCTATATGTTCCTCCTGTGCCCCTGGGACAACCGCTGTCAATCATCGGAGTGGAGGAGCAAGAGACGCATGGCTTTTGCTCTGTTTGTCACTCTCGCATGGCCTGTGTGTGCAGCGCTCAGCACAGTTGAAGTACAGACAGAAGCTTGCGCCTCATTTTCTATTGCTCTGAGTCTGCTGGAAGGAGACACGTCATATTTGTTAATTGTCACCAGGACAGGAAGTAATGAAATATCAAAAATGTTATGGTTGTCACCAGGGCTGTGGATAAGGGGGTACCACCAGTCCTCCTGTACAGGGCCCAGGCCAGCAGGGGGGGCCCAGGCAGATGAGTAAATTGGATGTGCGTAGGGAGGGTAATTGGCATGGTGGGAGTACAATTACTGGAACTGATCCCCTGTATGGCTCTCTCTGCAGCAGCTGAACACTGTGGGTTTTTTTTTTTGGGGGGGGAGAGGGCCCTGTCAGGTTTGCTGTATGGCGCCCCATGGTTTCTAACAGCAGCCCTGGTTGTCACTGGAACAGTAGGTGCAATCTTGCAATGAGAACACTTATTCTGTTAATAATTGTCTAATAGACATTTCCCCTCACTTCAGACAGATTTCCTGTTTTTTTGTCCCCAAAAGCACAAAAAAAAACAAACTGGGGGCTTTTATTAATTTCCTGTCTTATCCATTTATTTCTTAGATGCTTTTCACTGGCCAAGGCTTTGCCACTGCTTAAATAGTTTCACTTGAGAGTCAAGTGCAGGGGCGGACTGACCATTTGGAAACCTGGGCACTGCCCGAGGGCCCGGGGTCAGTAGGGGGCCCCATGAGATGCCCCTGGTACCTTTTTCATAGGATTTTTTGAGTTTGCGCAAGAACACAGGGGCCCCATGATCCCCTATTGCCCGGGGGCCCCATGAGTTGTCAGTCCGCCCCTGGTCAAGTGCAAGATTATACATTAACATATGTTAGAAATATTGCAGAAGATTTCATATTTATTCAGTTATTTTCTTGCTATTAATGACTGCAGACAGCCTATAGATTTAATTGAGATGCACCCTACCTGGTAGATTCACACTGAGAAAAGATCAGTTAGGCACAACCAGCCTGCAGAGCCTTCTAACGCAATGGAGTATGGCTGCCCCATGTACCTACTGTATATCATTACAAACAATTTACTGAAAAACTGTATTATATACAATGATACACATTGATAACAGTATTAACGTTAAAGAAACTGTCACCAATTTAAAAAGTTGCAGGCCAAAGCACAGAAGAATCATTTTTATGCTACTGTGCTTTGGATAATTATTGCATCCACTCAACTTTACTTTTAGAAAGAAGGGTTCACATTCTCATAAACATGTTGGTGTGATGAATAATGGGTTGCTGACTCAATGACTGGCAGCTGCCCATGCCCTGAAACAGCAAAGCAATTCCAACCATACCATTTCCCCCACCATGCTTCACAGTTATGAAGGTCTTCTTCTGAAATACTGTCTTAAGTTTGTGACAAACCTGTCTGATGTTACTGTGACCATACAACCCTAATTTTGATCAGTTCTCTGTGCATCGTTCCAAAAGGGCTGGTATTTGCCTATATTTTTAATGGGAAACTGAAATCTTGCTCTAATAATTTTTTGGATAGCAAAGGCTTTTTTTTAACACAACTCTCATCCAGGATAAATCGATGCAATCCCTTTCTTGGCTGTAGATGCATGCAGTTTGAGCCCAGCGTTTTTAAGACTTGCCTAAATTACCATGATTCAATTGTGGGGTTCTTGGAGAAATCTGTTAGCATTAAATGGCAGCTCCTGGGCTGAATTGACTGGGCCAGCCAGTCCTGGACAGATTAGTGGACATTTTTTTTCTTAAGTGCAGTGATTCATTTCAAATCATTTTGGTGATTTAAATCTGATTCCAGAATTGTAGTCATCTAAAACTTTTTTTATGAGGGCCTTAGAGACCTCTGAGCTTGGCATGACGGCATGATGTTTCACTTGCATACTCCCTAAGAAGGTTCTAATCATTGACAGCTAATCTGGAACACCTCATTCTAATTTCATGGATTATAAGTGGTGGTAAATGTAGGAGCGTACTTACTTTTTTCAAATAATATGCAAAAAATGAATATACCAAGTAAATTTATATGTGATTCAAGTATATCACCTTTATCTGTAGACACTATTTTCTATCATCAAGGTCTAATGTTTCCATTTAAAAAAAAGTTATCATTTCTATTGGGTGTATTTACTTCTTCACGTGTGTGTGTGTGTAATATATTAGCATTTAGCTTTAAATCGAATACCCATACAATTCTTCTATGGCGTCTCCCTCTTGTTGTAATGTCCCACAGTCTTGCTTGCTAAAAGAGTAACAATGGAGTGAAATCTACTGTGTCTGGTTTGGCCAACAAGGCAACAGTGCCAATGAATTGCTGTAAATTACAGGTTCCCTATTGTGAGATGGGTTCATGTGAATAGGCATGGTTTTCCTGCATTTGACAGGCATTTTAACTGCATATTAAACACAGGCCAGCGGATTCCCAATATTAATGTATTGTGGATATCTGTTCTGAGGCTGTACTTGACATGCTTTGTGTTGCATTTTTTTACAGCCCAGCAGGTCTTTTTGATTTGCATTTAAAACAGGTCATGCACAGCTTTCTGCTGCATTTTATGTTTAAACACTGCTGCATTTGAATACAAATACATTTTAATGTGTCTATCAACATCACCTGTCTGAGTCCTAAAGTTGTCCATATTCCCCAAAAAGCAAATTGGCATTTACTGTAGAATTGCAGAGCGATCACAGGTCAAAGATTTGCCCAATGTTCCATGGTCAAACCTACTAAGAGAAGTTTGGCCAGGATATATTTTCCCACCTTATCAATATTGTTCTCCACAGATAGACTGTCTTTCTGCTCTTAAAGTACACATGTGCATATTTTCAGGTGAAAATAACCATGTGGAATAAAAATACAGTAAATAATATAGAAAAATGGTAAAGGTACAATATAGTAAAGGGTAAATTAATATTAAAAGTGCTTAGCTAATGGGATCTAAGCTCAAGATATACTGAACACCAGTATGTTCTAAGTCCCCACAAATAGGTGATACACCAAAAATAAATGCCATGATAATATAAAAAATGAAAGTGACAGTGGAAGGCACACTATATGGCTGGTAAGTGTGGGGAAAAGTATTTGACGGTGTTAATCTTGCCATGTTTTACAGCTATGAAAGCAGCATTGTGAAACCTACTAGAAATCATCTCATAGACACTAAAATACAGTTAATGCAGGGGGAGACACAAGGGCATTTCTGCCATTAACCATTCAAAAGCTGCCTTACTTTTACACACAGATATGCACCTAATTGTGGGGAATGTAAGTTTAAAGGGACATCAGAAGGATGCTACTTGACTGCAACAAAACGTGTTACTCCATATTGTAAGTAAGTCTAAAGTAGACCACAACTGATGGTCCTTCCAAGTAGGTTTTAAAGCTGAACTTTAAATTCAGCCAATCTGTAAAATGTGCTGGCGTACTATGAGTCCAACAAAGTCATGCCACCCATGGACTTATCTCTTTAATTTACACCTGAAAGTTTATGAAGCTCCAGGAGTACAGATATCACTACACTCATGGAGCTCTGACAGAGGAGCTGTCTTCTCACACATAGCATTTCTACCTGTTAATACCCCTCTGCTGCCCATTCACAGGAGCCCCTTTGTATTGTATTCACTTAACAAAAGTGCTCTGTGATTGGGCAGGGGCTGGCACAGTCGCTGCATGTGATTCTGAAGCTGAGGCCAGAAGGTCCAGTATTGGAGTCCCAAATTATAGAACATTATCCAAAGTAGCTGAATAACCGGAGTTCAGCTTTAATTGTAGTATGGTAAAAGCAGGACAAACTGTACAATACATCACCCAAAATTTGGCAAAACCTGTTTTCTGGCCTGAGCAAATGTTTTTTTTTTTTTTGTGTGTTTTTTTCTTTTTTACATTCATGTACAAGCACAATTGAATAATTTGAAAAGTTTAGTGAATGATGGGCAACAGAACAGCATAATTGTTGTGTGGAGGTAACTAATTCTAAAATAGCATCTTTGTGGTGAGGAAAATTAAAAATTGTCACATTCTCTGTAGCAACCATCA